TGTAGACTAAAATAGATAGTTTGTTTAATAGAGACAATTTAATCAACATCAGTTTAAAATAAAACACATTTCAAATAGGTATTTACTTTAAATAACTAGTGGTGATCATCACCAGTTGCACAAATAATAAGAAAAAAGCATGGGTGCATTGGAGTCTATTTTTGACAGATGTAGAGGTCATGTCATTATTTGTAGCAAATAAATAAAAGTTCGCTTAATTTGTGATCGAACTTCTACCATTTTCATAAATCAATGTCTAAAAAATCTTCATGGGAAAGTGAACACGGGTTTTAGAAGCCAAGTAGCAAAGAAATCATACCTATAAGCTTATATATGATAACATGATTTATTTAGTACCATGCTAATATGGATAGTAAGCATTGTATTTTTTAGACTTCATTGTTGGTTAAGGTTCATTCTAATATTTATTTCACCTTTTTTTAGGCTTTCACTCTGAAAACGATAAGAATAATACAGATAGTAAGTGCTATGTTTTAAAGTTAGTTCACTTAAGTTACGTTCTATTATTTTTTTTCTTTTTTTTAGGCCTTTACTCTGAAAACTGTCAGAACGATGCAGATAGTAAGTGCTATATGCTAATAGTTTGCATTTTTTGTTTACTATTGTATATTCTAAAGTCAGTTCACTTAGGTTACGTTCTAATATATTTTTTTCTTTTTTTTTTTTAGACTTTTACTCTGAAAACTATTAGAATAATGCAGATGGTAAGTATTATGTTCTTAAGTCATTTCACTTAGGTTTCGCTTTTTTCACTTTATTTTACTTATTCTTGTTTCTTTAGAATTTTTTTCTAAAACCTATCAAAATAACATGGATGGTAAACAATATTGCTTCTAGAGTTTGTTCGAACAAGGTTCACTATATTTACCTTTTTTTTTAGAGTTTCTTTTCGAGAACTGTCAAAATGGCATGGATGGTAAGTATTACATTCTTGGGTTTTTCTATTAAGATTCACTTTATTTATTATGCTTTTTTTTTCTCTTTAGAATTTCTTTCTGAAACTATCAAAACGATGGTAAGCAATATGCTTCTAGAGTTTGTTCATCAAGATTCACTTTACTTTGTTCTATTAGGGTTTGTTTTACTTATTTAAATTTTTTTTTTTTGGAAACTATCAAGATGATATAGATGGCAAGCATTATGCCTCTAGAATTTATTCGATTAGAGTTCGTTTTATTTTTATATTAGGGTTTGCTTGATTTTTACTATTTTTTTTTTTTTTTAGAATCTTTTTCTGAGAACTGTCAAAACAATACAAGTGGTAAGCTTACGCTTCTAGGATTTGTTTAATTAGAGTGTGCTTTATCTTTATTTACTTTATTTATCTTTTGAGACCTTCAAAGTGACACAAGTATTTAAAATTTTAAACATTAAGCGAAGTGTTTTATTTGTGATTTGTACCTTTTTTAAACTAAATTCCATATTCTTTTTAGGCATTTTTTCACTTGAAAAGGTTGCCTCAACAGAGTCTTTAACTTTGGAATCAGAAAATCAAATTAATGTTGGTAATTCTTTTTTATTATAGGATGAGGTGGAAATGAAACTCAATCAATATGCAAGAGCAACTGGATTTACCTTATGTCGAAAACATCTTGAGCTTGATGGTGATGGAATTATTAGATGTCGGACGTTTGAGTGTAGCTTTTCCAGTACACCCACCTCTAATCAAATAATTGATTTAACTCAACAACATCAGTGACAATTCAGAAAAATTATGTGCCCATGGCACATAAATTTAACAAACCCCAAATCATCATCAGAAATAAGAGTTACAAGCATTGTTAGAGACCACAATCATGATATGATATCTGATGTACATTTATATGCTTTCAAGTACCACAAGTTGTCAGAAGAAATAAAAGAAAGGATTAGATTTTATGTTACTAAAGGCAACATGGAGTCAAAACAAATATATCCACTGTTGGTAGCAAGTTTTCCAGATCAATATATTCATAAAAGGGATCTTTACAATAAGGTTCAAAAGATTAAAGCACCACTTACCAAACGGCATGGAGATGCACAAAATATAATTAATAAATTACTTGCATTAAAGGATCAAGAAACCGAGTGGATAATTTATACTAGAATTGATCTGTTTGATAATCACCTCGTAGAGTTATTTTGGATGTCTCCTGCTCAGCATCAGTGCCTTATAAGATATAACGATGTAGCACAAGTAGATAATACATATCGAACCAATTGGTTTGATATGTATTTAACTTTGTTAGTCATAGTAGATAACAATACTAAAAGCCGGCTTGTTGCCCAATGTTTATTGGAAGATGAAACTATTGATAGCTTTGAATGGTTTCTTGAATATATTCTTAAATCAACAAATAGCATTTCACCTGTTTGTATATTTTCAGATGCAGATCCTGCTTTAATAAATGCATTGTCATCAAAGATGTCTAATATATAGCATTTTTTATACATTTTCCACATTAAAGAGAACTTGAGAAAAAATTTAGTTAGCAAATTAGGACAACAATACAAACTATTTTATAAAGAATTTCAACATGCCCGAAATAGTCTTTTTGAAGAGGATTTTCATCGATGTTGGAAACGATTAATCAAAAAATATCCTTCAGCTCAAGGATATCTTAACACTTTAAACAAGTGTTGTCGAACATAGGTGAGATGTTATCAACTAAAGTGTTTTACAGCTGGCATCCAGAGTACACAAAGGGTAGAAGTTATAAATCAGTTAATTAAGGATGAAACTAGTAGTATGTCTTCATTATGTAATTTACATGACCAAGTTCAAAATTTGTTAGATGGTGAGGCTACATGGGCTTGGTACAATATATATCTTCAAAGTCTTCCAACTAACCAAGCACCATCAATCATTGAACCTTTATTTCCTGAAGTCATCAAATTAATGACTAAATATTTAACACCACACATCTTATTAGTTCAATGGCAACAAATTACTGGATCATTATTATATTGGGCTAGAAATATTTCAAAAGAAATAATTAATAATATAAAGGTATGTTAACTAACACTAGGATTGAGTTATCGTTATAGATGTAACCCAAACTATTTGTGACATAGCATCAGTTTCTGCTATTTTTTTTTTCTGTTGCCAAAACTATATGATACTAATTAGCATATTGTTTGGAATGTCCCATCACTAGTTATTGTTATAAATTTTAATAATAATGTATGCTTTTATTAGAATAGTAATCATGATTATGATGATGGATTTCTTGAAGATCAACTAGATAGGCCACAGACATCTCTTCAATTTCTTTTAGAAGAGATAGAATCATCTGATATTATAGAGGTTTGGGAGCTCTTTGGTCTTACCAAATCATATAAGCACTATGTCATTTTACTAATAGATGGTGGTCATTTATGTATATGCATGGCTATAATCAATTGTGGACTTGTCTGTTCATATTTTTTTCAAGTTATGATAGGTTCAAAGGTTGCTAAATTTAGTATTGGTCTTATTTTCAAATGATGGTACCTTGAACACATTCAAGATAGGGGTATTCATGATTTGGAAAATAAAACTGTGGGAATAATGATACAGTTCCAATAGGATAGCAATGACAAACCATTAACAGCCGATTTACATATATTTAATAAGCTTAGAGTGCCAGATACATTCACATATAAAGTTAGACAACGTGTGCAAAGAAAAGCTAAATACATATATGGATTTGAAAAAATGAAAAAAGCTCTCAATTTAGCATTAGATTTGGATTGTGAGGAAGAGTTTATTAATATGGTTAACAGATTTATAGATTGCAAAAAAAATTATATCAATGAAACAAATAAAATTAATAATTCCCATATATCTGATCCTGTTATTCAGAAACAATGTGGTCATTCTCCAACCAAGAGAATTAAATTAGTATCTGAAACCAGCATACATTGTATTAATTCAAAAAGTAGTGCAATTAATCCAGTTGATCCAAATTTATATGTGCAACAACATACTCCACAAGTAGCTTCATTAAGGACTCCCTTTCGTGCTCTCAATTCTGACAACTCTGAAAGAAATATCTGTGTGTCATCAGACAATATTAATGTAAACATTTAAGTTACAGATGATAATGTGTTGAAATGAAAGTATATATGTAAAGTTTGTAGGGAATCAGGTCATAATGCTAGAAACAAAACAAAATATAGCAGGTAACAGTAGTATATGAACCTTTAAGTTTGTATTTTGCACTTAGATAAGCTTTATATTGACTTCATATGTATTGTACTGCACATTCTGATTTTTTTTCATACTAGTGCTAGGATTAGGATAAGCTATAACATTGGACCATCATGTTTTATTTTAATTCATATATACTGTTCATTCTAATTTGTATTTTTTAATTGCGGGCAAGTTTATAATCTATGTTTGTTGTAATGGGTATGAAAAACAGATATAATTCAAGGATTTATCTATTAATAGTATATCGATATCACTGTTGCATGTCGATTTACTGCTGTGTGCCATTTTTGCTTACTAGTAATAATATATATAGTTTGGGGCCCTTATGTCAAGAAAATTCTAGACTGAAGATCGCTGAAGATCACTTTTGACTCTATCCAGATCCAATAAAATTACAGGATCTTGTATAACAAAACAAACATAAAAAACATAAGAAATTGTAAATAACCTAAAAATTTACTATGATAACTAACTTCCAACCTTTAAGTAAAAGTTTTCAAAATGAAATTTTACTTATAAGACATAATTGTTAATGTTAGATATATAGTGAATTTTTGAGATACTACAACCCATATTTTTTTGGCCAGTAGCTTAGAATTTTCTTGACATAAGGGCACCGATATAGTTTGGGATCCAATTTTAATGTACATATTATAAATCCAGTTATAACAGGTTTTATGTTTCAAACTTTAAATCATTGTATTATAGATAGAGTATTTAGGAAACAGAGCATAGCGGAGGTGACAGCCGTAGTAAAGCAATACAAGTTATAATGTCTGTAAAAGTGTGGTATATAAATTAGTTTAGTTGCGCATAGCTGATAGAATAGTATCATTACTATATATTTTGTTATTTATATTAGTTATTACATATTAAATATCGATTAATAGTATGTAATATTTGTAGTCACGTGATTGCAGTGATCATCACTGCCAGTTATAGTTAGTAAAATTCATTTCGAATAAACATAAAAGATAACATTATTAAGAAGATAAAAATGTAAATTTTAATCAAGTATAATAAATAATTTATTGATAAATAGATACATATATTTTGCTATAAACTATACAATACTTTTTCTGTACAACCTTGCAATTTCTAAAACTACACTAAAAAAAATTTCAACTGAATCAAGTTTCTTTGTTACTAGATACCCAGACTTTCATACAACCTGTTTGTGTAGGTTATTTTTATAGACAAAAATCGATACTGGGCCCCGAACCATACTTACATCTTCTGGTATAATACCAAACTCATGTTCTACCAAAAACACAAGTTTTTCAAATTTGGTAAAAAAGATATGCATAGGTTTCATTTTCAAAAATTCTTTGTTCAATTTATCAGAATCATTCAAGTATTCTTGTACCCAATTCCAAACCTTGCTTTTTTGTTTCCTAGAAAGAATATCTCTAATCATACTCTGATATGAGTCTATGTCAAAGCTGTTCTTTGTAATCATTTTATTGTCATCTTGCAACATCTTCTCAAAAATCAATATTTCAATTTCTTTAGTTAATTCTTCTTTATTTTGTTCAATTTCTTCTGAAAATGCTTTATATTTTTCAGAACAAGAATAACAATAACAATTTTCATCATTATCAAAAATCTCATCGCATAAGTCTTCTATTTTGTATTTCTTATTTTTTACAATAACTTCTTTAGATAAAGAAACTACTCTTGATTTCTTTTCAGTTTTCAAATTAGTTTTTTTTTTTAGAGTTAGTTTTTGTTTCTGGTTTTGTTTTCTTAATATTTGTTTTTTTGTTTTTCGTAATGAAGGCTTTCTTCTTAATACATGAAAGTCTAATATAAATTGAAATTGCTTTTTGATATTATATTCAGGTGTTTTAATTCTTGATCGAGTTTGCATGTTTATTTTAGAAAAAAATACTTTTTAATAATTAAGCATTCTTTAAATAAAAAATAATGTATTACAAATTTGTAATCCATAAAAGAAACCAATAAAAATAAAACTTGAATATCAGATGACTGTTGAGTGAGTGAAGCTCACTCTCAGTAAAGAAACCAATAAAAATAAAACTTGAATATCAGATAACTGTTGAGTGAGTAAAGCTTACTCTCAGTAAAGAAACTAATAAAAATAAAACTTGAATATCAGATGACTGTTGAGTGAGCAAAGCTTACTCTTAGTAAAGAAACCAATAAAAATAAAACTTGAATATCAGATGACTGTTGAGTGAATGAAGCTTACTCTTAGTAAAGAAACCAATAAAAATAAAACTTGAATATCAGATGACTGTTGAGTGAGTAAAGCTCATTCTCAGTAAAGAAACCAATAAAAATAAAACTTGAATGTCAGATGACTGTTGAGTGAGCAAAGCTTATTCTTAGTAAAGAAACCAATAAAAATAAAACTTGAATATCAGATGACTGTTGAGTGAGTGAAGCTCAATCTCAGTAAAAAACCAATAAAAATAAAACTTGAATATTAGATGACTGTTGAGTAAGTGAAGCTCACTCTTAGTAAAGAAACCAATAAAAATAAAACTTGAATATCAGATGACTGTTGAGTGAGTAAAGCTCACTCTCAGTAAAGAAACCAATAAAAATAAATTTGAATATCAGATGACTGTTGAGTGAGTGAAGCTCACTCTTTAATCCTAGGCCTTGCGCTAGCAGTTCATGTATGGCATAGTAAAACACTATGCCAAACATACTATTATATATAAATATTATATTTCTATAAAACAAATACATAGTGATAAGTAGTAGATCATGTATGTAAAATTACTATATCTTATTACACTTTTAGTGATTGACGTACTGGAAAACAGGCAACCAAAATCAGCACAAATCAGTTCTGCAAATGAACCTGAGCATACATTACCTGAAATTCATATGACTTGAACAGAAAAGAATGACAATCATGTCTATCAAGTACATAAAATTTCAGGAAAGTACATGTTGCTAAATCAGAAAGTACATGTAAAATCATGACTAATTGAGTGAAAAAAATCAGATACAAAAATTTTTGATGATTAGATAAAGCAGCAGAACAGGTGATTTACTGTACATTTTTTAATTTCAGAAAGTACATGAAACTTTACTCATGTGATTTAATGGGTATTTTGGATTTAAACTACTATTATCCAATAGCATTTTGCAAAAATTCTGTAAGAGGAAATATTTTTGCAAATGCAGAAAGTACATGAAATTTCGTATTGTTACACTGTACAACTTTGCAGATGTGAAACTTGCAGATTTTGTATTATTTTCATATTTTTTATCATCATCCACCAATAGTTTGATCAGAAAATTTTTTACTATGAATTTTTCTATCAGCATGCTGATCAGTTCATGCAGACACATGATTCAGATTTTTTATTATCAGCTAAAATTTTGATTTTGATCATGTTGAAACACAAAAAGAAATATGAAACCCATCCCAAAATAGACAGATACTTTTTAAAAAGGAAATATTTCTTCAATCATATGACAAGACCCAAACTGAACTGAAAGTAAAGAGTTCAAACCTTTAATATGATTAACATAAAATTTAAATGATTATACTTCATTGATTAAACCAA